GCTAAAGATGTTTTGGGGACTCCTTAATCACTTTGTTACCTATAATCCAAAATTACTACTACTTTTAGACAGACAAACAAAGCTGGCTACTAGCACAGAGAAGCAAACTCTCAAACATGTCCAAAACCGTGTAAGTCCAAGAAAATATACCATCTATGGCATCTTCATCCTGTACTAATATTTCCACACACAGTCTATCAATACTAGAACACTTTTTCCTGATTATAAATGAAGTGTATGAGGATAAAACTCCACATATTGTGTGATCTCTGATCTGTACAGATCGCATCTCCTTCCCACATTCATGTCAATACTAAATAAACGGCTCGAAATTAGAAAATTAACTTCTGCTGTAAAAATATACAAACATTAAGACAATATAAACCAAAACCAGCGCATGCTATTGAACAGAATTTAATAAATTTGTTGTTGTGAAAATGTTTACACAAACACACAGATACTTCACAGATACTTGCATTTAAAGTGTACAACTGCTTAATGGCTCAGTCTAAGCACCAAAACCACTTCAACACACTGCAGTAGTCATGGTACCAGGAACCCCCAGCTTCGGAACATTTTTACACTTACCCGAGTCCCCTGGGGACCACAGACTACCCCCTCTTCATGTATCAATAAAGAGAAGTTGCTAAATCTGCATTAGTGACGATGTTTGGATGGAATTCATTGACTGAGTGTGTAAGAATTGCAAATTAAACACCGAACATGGTATGTAGAAACCGTTAAAATCTGAACTATTAATAATAGCAGGGGGTGGAAACCACCAGCGAGTCAGGGAATCGACTCTTACGAGTTCAGGTGCTGACCACACAAAACGTTCCTGCTCTATCCTGCTATTACTGATAGGTTCTGGTGGGAAACGTTGGATAAACCCTGAACTCTATCGAACTGAAATCTGAATGGCAACATATTGATCTGGAAACATTTACAAATTTGTTGTCATATATTGATTATTTTTGCCTAAATTTTACCATTCAAATATAAATTTACTGCCGTTTGTGGAATTTAGCGAATTTCACCATTTGTTTACAACTGAAAGCAAAAAAATGCACAATTATCTTATAGTTAATGATAATGTTGGACAGAACTAGAAAACAGACAGGGTGATTTACTGAAGTGAGAATTTAAAGTGAATGTCAGATTTAACACCAGAGTAACCGAAATGGAAGTATAACGGACTTGGCTAATGTTTCCAGAGTTGCTACTTGATCCAAAATTGAAATTCACTTTGAATTCTCACCGTAGTAAATAATCCAGGCTTTCTTAGAAACCCTAACTATAAATATAAGGCACTATTTTGTTGGATATAAACATTTTTTACATATATATTCATTCCTGAGCATTAAACCTTTAACACTGCTGGGGATTTTAAAGTACGATGATAAAACTGAAATCTGTCTATTTGTCTTAGAAAAGTTCCATAACTTAATGAATGGTAGATGCTGCTTTCTGTATATTTAAAGAAATTAACATTATGTTAAAGATTGCTGCCAACATGGTTTCATTCCCAAGGTCCCCAGACACCGGATGGTCCAGGATCACATTTTGGATCATCATCTGGGTAGTCGATGGGCACAGAATCCTTGTAATAATGTTCTAGCCGGGAGAGAAGAATTTCTACCACATCGGGATAGTTCTGGGACAAGTCATTCCTCTCCTCTGGGTCGTCCTCGATATTGAATAGCCATAGGGTTTTATTTTCAGAATTGGGAGCCGCAAAATCTGAGCCAAGTGACGGTGGCGGAAACCAGCGACTGCAGCCTGTACCGGAGTGAGAGGGGCAGAAATTAGTAATGATTAGAATAAGAAGCATTCTGTGTACTGATAAAAATAGGTATATTTTAGGGGCACGGCTCATCTTTTACCAGGGTAGTCCCAGTCTATGTCAGTGGTAATGTCAGTCTATATGCTGATGTAGAGACCAAACTTTATACAAAATCCAGCTTAAGGAACAGTACACACAAAAATACAGCTTTACATTTAACAAGGCTACTTAAAATAACCTATCTCGGCAGATAAATGTGGGATTTGTTACACCATATGGCCATATTGTGTTAAGCCAACCACTACGTCACAGTACAATCAATATCTGTGGGTCCTACAGTAATTTTAACGTTGGAGTCAGATACTAACCCTGGCTCCAACATATTTCTAAAATATAATGCATGTCTGTGGGCAATATGTTCTCTAGTACTCAGGGAAACTTGTTTTGTTGACAAAGCGTTTATTCACTAAACAATGAATTGAAAGAATGTAGGCTTAAAATAGCTCTGCTGTGACTTGGACAACTTGGACCACTTTTCCAATTTTGCTATTTTTGCCAGGATCATTTGATATTTAGTGAATAAACCCCAAGTCAACGTGTCTCTAAGGGCACCATGTCCGTCACCGTGTCTCCAGGAATTATTACACATGTAATACGAGGGCACCTCAATGGAGGAATTGTACTGAAAAGTTTGGATTTTTAGACCCTGATTGGCAAGGACCAGAAAGGCAGCATTTTAGCTTATATTACTTCAGTGGCAAGGAATGTTAAACCACCCAAACCGTGGACAACTAAAAAAAAAAAAGTGTGTCTGTACAATAATTCTTAAAATACGCCAATCAAACGTTCCCCTTTCCATGCACCCTGTGCTTACATAAATCTGCTGAGACAGTATTGGAAAATGGCTATATCACTTTAACACCAAAATGATACTTCGCTTTCTGTGGTCCAGCCTTCCTATTTTGTTTTATGCCTCACATGGAATACAATAGTTAACATCTGGAAAATACCAAATTTTGGGCTAAAATCTCAATTCTGAGGAACGTTTGCTCAAAATAATCAAAGCCAAAGCAATTCGTAATCTGGTACAAAAAAAAATCATTCTAAGATTATCTGGGGCCATAGAAAAGACAATGGCACTGCAGATGTTTGTAAACTACGCTCCCCAATACTCCAGCCTTTAGTCTGCCAACATCTCCCTCGATGCGACAGCAGTCTTTAGGTTTGCAAAACATCACGAGAAACACAAAATCTCTGTGTGGCACAGTTGGGTATCATTGGTCGATAGATCTACTGTAAATGGGTCCACAACCCAGTTAATCCTTTCATGACAGATGATGCTATACCTGCTTTGTATTAATCGCTTTATAAAACCAACACGAGGTACCTGGATAGCCAGTGAGGAGTTTCCACTTCTTATATCGTATTGCGGCATGGATGGATGTATTAAAAGATGGATGTCCCCAGTGAGGCGCGGTGAGATTATAGGACCATTTTTCGGTTTTGTTGTTTGTGCTGCCTGTAAAATAATTTTTATTTTATAACTTTGTAAGAGTTTAAGGAGTACTGCACGAAAGGTAACTGTCAGGGCTGTATTATTTTTCAGAATTCGCTTTATCTCGATTTGAAGAGAATCATCATAATGTAAATATTTAGGGAGCGAGATTTAAACCTCTCACAACTGTTTTTCATACAAATTGCCTTCATTAGCGTATTTTCATTCCTTGTTTATTTAAACATGTGGATCAAATTGTTAATGGTTTTCAAAGGCATGTATATATAGCTTTTCTTTCTGAAACCAAATAATATTTATTTATTTATTTTAAAATCTTCGCCTTTTAGATGCCAAATTGTAATTCGACTGACTTGAAGCTCGTTATTAAAGGGACACTGAAGTCACCAGAACCACTACAGCTTAAAGAGAAAAGGCAGTGTTAGCATTGCTGGCTAGTAACACCTTTAGGTGCAGTCACTCAGACGGCCACTACAGGCGCTTCATTTCTCAGTGCTGCACAATTTGCACAATCAGGGCCGGACTTTGAAAAAATTTGACCCAGGCATTTTTCAATCACAGCGGCCCCCTGAGAAGGGGGCAGTGCCAGAGAGGGTGTGTTTTGTCATGACTCCTCTCAAAGTCAGCATATTGGTTCAATGTGAAGAGCCCCGCTGAAGAGCTCTAGCATGAGAAAAAGGCCCTGTATTTGTTCTGCGCAGCGCAAGCGAATTTAATAACATGCTTGCGCTGTGTTTAACTTGTCTCTGGTGTCTCCATAAGTGGGATCCCAGAGGACAAAAGGGCCAGGAAAGCGTATTGTCCAGGTGTTTGGAGCCTGCTTACGGGATTGCGTGTGTGTATGTGTGAAGGGTGCAGCGTGTGTGTGAGGGTGCTGTGAGTGTGGTGTGTGTGTGTGTGAGTGCTGTCAGTGTAAAGGGGGCTGTGTGTGTGAGGGTGCTGTGTGTGAATAGGTTTGGTGGGATTGTATGTGTTGGAGGGGAGACAGATTAAGTTAAATATATTAAATATGTATTTTTTTTCTAATAAAAAAAAAAAGTTTATACTCCCCCCTTCTTAACTTTTGCCTTCGAGGGGTGCTTTGCTACTATCCCTGGTGGCCCTAGTGGTGAGTGAACTCTAGCCTGTGAGTAACTGCGGCAACGAGCTGACCTCGTGAGAGGAACCTGGTGGAGCTGCTGGCTAGAGCTCCCCGTGTCCTCTTCTCCCTCCCTCCCCAGTCGTTGGTCTCATGTCAGTGCCTGTGGGCCAGTGAGGGAGATCTTTGATCTCCCCACCAGCCCACAAAGGCACACAGCAGGACCGGCGCTCAGATAGTGCCGGCTCTGCATGTGCTGGCAGGGGAGATCCTGTGATCGCCCCTTCCGGCCTCGGCCCATGGCCATCGCGGCCCACCAGGCATTTCCCTGGTATGCCTGAAGGCCAGTCCAGGCCTGTGCATAATACATGAAGTCGCTGAACGTTCCCCATAGAGATGCATTGATTGAATGCTGATTGGCCAGGACTGTGTTTTCCAGCGTGTGCAAAATAGCCACCCAATGATTTCCTACGGAGGCAGGACCAGCCATGGCGAGACCGCCAAGGCATGGCAAAAAAAGGTGTGTTTAAACATCTTTTCACAGCACAGACAGGAGGGCCAATGACCTAAATCAGGGCTATGCAGAATAAATAACGGTTCAGGCACTCCGAGTTAACAGAAATAGCAGCTGTATTGGGGCAAAAGCAGCAACGTTTCGACCCTACCTTTAACAAGCTTGATAAAGACCTGGTAGGGTCGAAACGTTGCTACTTTTGCCCCAATAAAGCTGCTATTTTTGTTATCCCGGAGTGCCTAAACCGTTATTTATTCTGCATATCTTAGAAGGAAGGCCTGGGTTATTTGGTGGGTGCGGTATCCAACATGTCTCTACTAAATCAGTGCTACGCATCATACGGGCCGCCAAATTATTTCCTGCAGCCTGTGAAGACTCAGGTCCGCTGCAACCTAAGGCGGCACAGCTAGCTGCCTTAGGGCGCACCGGACGGTTGGGGGGGCAGAATCGGTTTGACCGGCAGGATAAAACAGGCTTTGCAAGGTTTGTTATAATCATCTACCTTGTAGATCACCCTACAGTTAATTAAAAAAACAAAGCCCATAAAACCTGACTGATATTATGTCCCCCCTAAATTCAATCCCATTCAGAGCACTGCACTAGGCCCAGCACAAGAGATGTTAATCTGTGCTAATCTCTGTAACGGAGCTCCTTGTACTCCGACCGAGTACCCTCCGTTGACGGATGCTCCTAGCGCTTCCTGAGGACTCTAAGCACTGCAGCAGACACCACAACCACCGCAGACTCCACAACCGCCGTATCTTGACTGGAGTCTCGCCGTCTTCCTTCCACCCTGGATCAGCTTCTGTCCTCCAGGACTGTGTGGGAAAGAACTCTTCCTTCCACCCTGTATGAACCTCCAGCATCCAGGACTGTGCGGTGAAGACCCCTCCTCCAAGGAGAGCGTGTCAGGAACAAGCTCTTAAAAGAGCTAAGTGACTCAAGCTCAGGGGAGCATGCAGAGCATAGCAATCCCCAGTGTGATTATAACAGCTCCCTCCAATAACGAGACAAGGCTACGTTTAGAGGGATCAAGAAGAACTGTCAAAACCTTTATTCCCTTGGGACCAGCCAATACAGTCACCACAATAACATTGTTGTGAAACCTCAATAAAATCACAAACAGTCAAACCATATCAAGAAACACACAGTGACTTATCACAACACAATGGCACATTTTTAAAGGGGTGGGGGGAGACAATATTTAACAGTAAATATCTCACCTGCCTGCAGAATTAGCAATATGCAAATCTACCCGAATATGCAAATGAACCAGTCTTGCAATTCAGGTAGTGCATATTGCTGTTGCTACCAACAGAGGGCACTAGACAAGCTCCATAGCCAAACCCAACTAGTTGGTAGCAAACCTCAGCAATACAAGAGAGCAGGCAATACATTACACAGTACACACACAATAAACAATTACATTACACACACCCTGCACCTATAATGGGTACAGGGTGACTAAAACATAAGATAAATAAAGCAGCCTACATAAATAGTCTGTCTGAAGGTAGAATAGGGGCTTTAAAGCCAGATACATGAAAGAGTCATAGTCACAGGGGAGGAGGCTGGCAAGTAGGCCTCTCCAGGACCAAGTGGCGAAGGGCACTTCGTCACAATCTCCTACCTAGAATATTGTAGTCTCCAACACAATACACATGGGGAAGTGTGGTAAGATTATTTAGAAAGCAGGTTTCAGGTAAACATCCAGTGTATCGAGCTTGTGAACGATTTGTATATTTGGTGAAAGCGGACTGCCAGAACGGAACCAACAAATACTGCGTCTGAGCGTTCGCCTATTAGCAATTCAAACATAAAGTAGTAAATAGGTGCACTTTATAAGCCATTGCTCTAGCAATCATAACTGGACTGTTTGAAACACTCACCCTGCGCATGCACACTTCACCTGTGAAGGTAAATATTAGCACTTTTTCAGATAAAGATTTATTTGTTTAATTAATGTGTCTTTAACTTTATTGGTAGTTTATATCCTATAAGAAAGGTTTAAACTGAATGACGTATATATAACATTTATTTTTTTCCTATAAGATGTGTGGCGAGTTTGTGGTTTTTCACTTAACTGACAGATGAGGCAGGTTTTAATTTTGGTGGCATCTAATTCAGAAATGAGTCGGTAAGTAGTGTTTACCGTCTCCTATGGGAGAAATGTAAACTCCCGTCTCACAGACAATATGTCTTGCGATTGGTAAGAACAGATGCGACTATGTAACATTAATGGCAACCTCGGAAATCAGAGCTCCATCGCCAGAAATTGAGGATTCAAGATGGATCAATCCGCAAGCATTAAATTAATACTGCACAAACTCAAAAACTCAGGTATTGGTGATCGTCCCGCTAACCTGGTTTCGATCATATGTATCAGATTGCTCACAATATGTGTCAATTTCTGACAGCGACTCCCTCCCTCTCCCAGTCACGTGTGGTGTTCCCCAGGGTTCCATTGTCGGCCCCCTACTATTTACATTATTTATAAAGGATCTGCCTAATGTCTGCAAATTCTCAAATGTACACATGTACGCAGACGACACAGTAATCTATGCAAGCAAATCCGATCTACCGCAGCTTGAGGCTGTGCTCCAAGACCAGTTTACAGAGGTAGAAAATTGGATCGCAAAAAACAAACTCTTCCTAAACACTGACAAAACTGCCACAATGATCTTTGGAACAGTACCTAAATTACACAAATTACACAATTCCCACCTATCCATCAAAACAAATTCAAATAGCACACTGACTGCAGTCCACTCTTTCAAATACTTGGGCATGATATTAGACCCCAATCTATCTTTTGGCCTCCACATAGAAAAACTTGCATCTAAACTTTATCCAAAACTAGGTGCCCTGTACAGAAACAAATCCTGCCTAAGCCCTACAGTAAAGGAAAATATTGTACAGGAAATGCTGATGCCAATTATTGATTATGGGGGATGTAGTATATGCACCTGCATCGCAATCCCACATTAATAAACTTAATACATTGTATAACTCGTTCTGCCGATTTGTGCTACAATGTAATTACAGGACCCATCATTGTGACATGCTAAAAGAACTAAACTGGCTGTCGCTGGAATCCAGATGCACCCTTCATCTTTCCAGCCTTGTGTTTAAGAGCTTTTCTGGGAAGCTCCTACCCTACCTGAACACAATGCTCTCCTCAGCTGTTCCCACTTTCTATAACCTCCGATCCGGTACCAGCACTTTATTTAGTCTACCTCAATACAAAAAGAAAGCGGCCCGATCCTCCTTTTCATACAGAGCGCCGCTAGCTATTATGGAACGACCTCCCGCACACTTTCAAATCTTCCCCAAGCCTAAAGTCCTTTAAGAGATCCCTCTCTACATACCTCAAAACAGAATGCACCTGTCATGGTTGATTATATATTTCCTACCTGTTCTATGTTAAATTTTGTTTATATTGTGTAATATTATTGTTTTTGTATTTTATTGTATCCTAATGTATCAATGCAATGATTTGTGGACCCAGGGCATACTTGAAAACAAGAGAAATCTCAATGTATCCTTCCTGGTAAAATATTTTATAAACATAAATAAAAATAATAACAATATTAAGTACTTAAAACCAGCTCTAACACAGACTGGATCTCTGCGGTTTTTGCCCCCTACACATGTTAGCGGCTAGTTGTAAAACATATTGATAACATTGGCAACGAGCCCCACCTGTTACTTACTGTATCAGGTTTAATGGCTGCAGCAACCCTACTAAGAATTTAACGTAATACAGGTTATTTTATTACGTTCTAGCTACTAAGCACAGAGCTAGTTCTATGTATCTCCCTTCTCTTTACCAGTCTATAGTTTCCTTTTTCCGCGTCTCCCTATCTTACTTCCCATATTTGTGTCTCCCCTATCCTCCCCATACATTGGGCCCTTGTCGCCCCATCTGTTACGTCTCCCGTCTCCTTCTACACTTACTGTTCTATTTTCTCTCTCCCCAGATGTTACAAATCTCATCCAATCTCAAGCACTGGCAAATCCCCAGGAATATATTTAAATTTTAGCTTGAGACAAAGTATCTGGCAGCCACATTTCCAAACCACTTGCATTGTTTTTCCTGTTGAAACATTTAGTCCACTCTCATTCCAACGTGTCCTCTCTGTCTGGGACAAACAGCAGCACATACAGAGAGCAGCGCTGGTCAAACAGCAGCACATACAGAGACCGGCAATGGTCAAACAGCAGCACATACAGAGAGCGTTACTGGTCAAACAGCAGCACATACAGAGAGCAGCAATGGTCAAACAGCAGCACATACAGAGAGCGTTACTGGTCAAACAGCAGCACATACAGAGAGCAGCAATGGTCAAATAGCAGCACATACAGAGAGCAGCACAGGTCAAACAGCAGCATATACAGAGACCGGCAATGGTCAAACAGCAGCACATACAGAGACCGGCAATGGTCAAACAGCAGCACATATAGAGAGCAGCGCTGGTCAAACAGCAGCACATACAGAGAGCGGCAATGGTCAAACAGCAGCATATACAGAGAGCAGCAATGGTCAAACAGCAGCACATACAGAGGGCAGCGCTGGTCAAACCGCAGCATATACAGAGAGCAGCACAGGTCACACAGCAGCACATACAAAGAGCAGCAATGGTCAAACAGCAGCACATACAGAGAGCAGCAATGGTCAAACAGCAGCACATACAGAGAGCAGCGCTGGTCAAACAGCAGCATATACAGAGAGCAGCAATGGTCAAACAGCAGCATATACAGAGAGCAGCGCTGGTCAAATAGCAGCACATAGAGAGAGCAGCAATGGTCAAACAGCAGCACATACAGAGAGCAGCGCTCATCAAACAGCAGCACACACAGAGAGCAGCGCTCATCAAACAGCAGCATATACAGAGATCAGCAATGGTCAAACAGCAGCACACACAGAGAGCGGCAATGGTCAAACAGCAGCACATACAGAGAGCAGCGCTGGTCAAACAGCAGCACATACAGAGAGCAGCACAGGTCAAACAGCAGCACATACAGAGAGCAGCACAGGTCAAACAGCAGCACATACAGAGAGCAGCAAAGGTCAAACAGCAGCACATACAGAGAGCGGCAATGGTCAAACAGCAGCACATACAGAGAGCAGCGCTGGTCAAACAGCAGCACATACAGAGAGCAGCAATGGTCAAACAGCAGCACATACAGAGAGCAGCACAGATCAAACAGCAGC